TATTTATATAAATGATTTTAATTGATTAATTTATTAATTTAAAATTAATCATTATAATTTTTTATATAAATTAATTAAAAATTTACGTTACTTGAAAGGTTTAAAAATGTGATAATAACAATTTGATCCCCACCATGCTCGAACACGCGTTCCCATTGTGTGGACGAAGAAACAAACCAATCCAACCACCACACTTGTTTTGTTAAATCATTACATCATATTATATTTATTCATAAGGGTTAAACCAGCATTTGAATGGTTAAATCAATTAAATCAATCAAATCGAAAACCGAAGATCAAAACAATTTGACCTCCGAATCGATTTTCAAAAGATTAGCTTGAAGTTGATTGAATTAAAGTCCATCAATCAATGAGGCAAAAAGACAAAGAAATCAGCTGCAAATATCCCGTAGGGCCAATGAAATGAATTTGATCCCTGAGAAAAAGGAGCTCGATAAGATTATGATGCCGTGAGGCAATTTGTCACGGCCTTATAACCACGACCCACTGGTCAACATAATAAAAACTTAAAGATTTATCTAACTTGCACATCACGTGTTAAAAATTTAAAAAAAATAAAAAATAATATTTCATTCATTAATTATTTAATTAAATATATTTATATAATAACAATATTAAAATTAATATTCATTTTAATAATTTTTTATTATAAAAAATATATTTATTATATTATTATTTTGTATTTTTAATACACAAAATAAAAAATTTCAAAATTTAGTATCGACATGGTCACATATTGTTAAATTTTTTAGTCAAATCAAGCAAAAAATTATTTATCACAGTTTCATTGCATAAAAAGTAGTAATGATGTGATAGAGTATAAATGACTTCCGGGACCCACTGATCCACGTAGTAAAGACTAAGACCTATAACTCAAGTCAACGGCGATGATAGCTTCGTCAAATGGAATTGTTCACACCTGATACGTTTTTAAATTTTAGGTAAAACCATAAGTTAAGCCCCTGAACTAACCCCAGAATCGTTATTAAGTCCCCAGACTTTCATTGAAGCATATAAACCCCCAAACTCTGCGATAGAAGCAATTTAGTCCTTACTCTCACAGCCAACTTAACTGTTGTTAATTGCCATTAACTGCGGTTTGGGGGACTGCCTTGTGTGGCGAAATTGGTCATCTCACTCCCACATGGCAAGGGACTTGGCATTTGATTTGTCCACTTGGATGAAAAAAAAAATTATTTAGGAATAATTTGATTCTGAAGTTAGTTCAGGGGCTTAACTTATGGTTTTGCCTAAATTTTAAGTCTAAGT